ACCCTATAGACCTTGGCTGGTTCAGGAAAGGATACCAGTGGTAGATCCTCAGTTCCAAAGCCATAGAAGGGATGAATAATGTTGGGTTTTCAAGGACTTTTTTTTTTTTTTTTTTTTGGTCAGAAGATGAGTGGCTGGCGCTGTGGCTCAGCAGGTTAATGCCCTGGCCTGAAGCACCGGCATCACACATGGGCGTCGGTTCTAATTCCAGCTGCTCCTCTTCTGATCCAGCTCTCTGCTATGGCCTGAGATAGCAGTAGAAGATATCCCAAGTCCTTGGGCCCCTGCACCTGCGTGGGAGACCCAGAAGAAGCTCCTGGCTCCTGGCTTCAGATTGGCACTGCTCTGTTGTGGCCATCTAGGAAGTGAACCAGTGGATGGAAGACCTCTCTCTCTCTGTCTACCTCTCTCTGTAACTGCCTGTCAAATAAATAAAAATAAATCTTTAGAAAAAAAAAGATGATGTGTCTGACAGAAGACCAGTGGGTCTGCAGGTATACAGAAAGGGGTTCTTTTTTTTTTTATTTTTATTTTTTTTTTTTTGACAGGCAGAGTGGACAGTGAGAGAGAGAGACAGAGAGAAAGGTCTTCCTTTGCCGTTGGTTCACCCTCCAATGGCCGCCGCGGCCGGCGCGCTGCGGCCGGCGCAGCGCGCTGATCCGATGGCAGGAGCCAGGAGCCAGGTGCTTCTCCTGGTCTCCCATGGGGTGCAGGGCCCAAGCACCTGGGCCATCCTCCACTGCACTCCCTGGCCACAGCAGAGAGCTGGCCTGGAAGAGGGGCAACCGGGACAGAATCCGGCGCCCCAACCGGGACTAGAACCCGGTGTGCCGGCGCCGCTAGGCAGAGGATTAGCCTAGTGAGCCGCGGCGCCGGCCCAGAAAGGGGTTCTAAAATTTCTGTAGACAACTAGTCTCATACAAGATGGCTGTAGGATGGAGATGGGTGTTCAGACCATTTGAGCTGAATTGTATATGAGCTGAATGTAGGTTGCACCTCTGTCACTGTTTACTCATCTTTAAGATGAGAATAGCAACAATACTAGTGAAATGTCCTTACTGTGAGATGTGTGCAGGCTGGCTTACACTGTGTTGCAATTGCATTTATGGGGTTTCTGGTGTATCTTCTTTAAATGAAGTTTCTGGTATCCTGCACTTTATAGCCTGCCCAGTGCTACTCATTTGAGGTTACAGAACTTATACAATACATAGTTTCTGGGGACATGGAAGTTTGGGTACTGGGGGACAGTCCCATTTCCTTTGGAAGTGAGTAGCAGTTATGGTATTTGAAGAAGGGAACTCCACAAATAGGAATCTTTTCTAACAGAATACAACTTAATGCTCTCTGAGACAACACTTTAAGGCTCAGAGAAGAGACAAGAGTCATTGAAATGTAAAGATCCTAGTAGCATGGTCCAAGCATATTGGACCAGAGTGAACAAGATGTACTTGATATTACCTTACCTCATCCATTAGTTTTTAAGACTTGGTGGTCATAGAAGTTTTGGACCAGCATTCAAAAGAGAGTTGTGAATGGATTAGAAAGACAGTGGTCTTAAGGGTGCAACTGGGGTGGAGGGATAACCTCTCCTATCTGAGAGTCACCATCTGCCTTGCTTCCTACCACATACCCATTACTTCATTCCACTATCAGAATCTCTAGAAATGGAGGTCTGTGAAACCTAGTCTGTCATATTCTTGGTACTTAGGCTATGCTGCTGCCCCTTGTATTCTAATAGTCCTTCCTGGTAGCTCAAGGAAGTTTTGCAAGGATCTCTGTAAAAAAAAGATGAAACAAATTGTATTTCAGGAGAAAAGTGCTTTGTGTAGTGTCACATGATTTGTAAATACCCGGCACCCTAACTTCTGTCTAATGTTCTCTATCTTGACACCCTTAATTAAAAATCATTTATTTTTCAAATCCATTTCAGAAATTGTCACCAGTTCAAATAGTACTGCTTTAGAAAACTTCCCTGAGCATGTCTTCCTTTTTGCTACTAATGCTATGTTTGGAGTGTGTGACTTCAAAAAGCATATCATAAGGCCAGTGCTGTGGCACAGCAGGTTAATGCTCTGGCCTGAAGTGCCCACATCCCATATGGGCATGGGTTCAAGACTTGGCTGCTCCACTTCTGATCCAGCTCTCTGCTATGGCCTGGGAAAGCAGTAGAAGATCGCTCAAGTCCTTGGATCCCTGCACCCACGTGGGAGACCCAGAAGAAGCTCCTGGCTCCTGGCTCCTGGCTTCAGATTGGTGCAGTCCCAGCCATAGCAAATATTTGTGGAGTGAGCCATCAGATGGAAGATCTCTCTCTCTCTCTCTCTCTCTGCCTCTCCTGTATTTATGTAACTTTGACTTTCAAATAAATAAATACATCTTTAAAAAAATAAAAACAAAAAGTTGCCAGTGCTGTGGCTCACTAGGCTAATCCTCTGCCTTGCGGTGCTGGCACACCAGGTTCTAGTCCCATTCAGGGTGCCGGATTCTGTCCTGGTTGCCCCTCTTCCAAGCCAGCTCTCTGCTGTGGCCAGGGAGTGCAGTGGAGGATGGCCCAAGTACTTGGGCCCTGCACCCCATGGGAGACCAGGAGAAGCACCTGGCTCCTGCCATCGGATCAGCACGGTGCACCAGCCACAGTGCACCGGCTGTGGCGGACATTGGAGGGTGAACCAATGGCAAAGGAAGACCTTTCTCTCTGTCTCTCTCTCTCTCACTGTCCACTCTGCCTGTCAAAAAAAAAAAAAAGAAAGAAAAAAAAAAACACATCATAAAAAATTTGCCCATTTCAGTAATTTCTTCTTGAATAATATACAATATACATGCAGCTACAGAAAATTACTGTGAACCTTTATCCTGCTTTCTGAAATAGTAAAATTATATTAAATCAGATTCACGTGATAATAAACTTCTTAAAATATAAATCAAAAGAACACAATGACAATATATAAGCAGAAATGTGAAGACCAACCTTATGACCTCCAGGTAATTTATTTGTATGAATCCCAGGACTTTTTTTTTAAGGTCTAATTGATAGGCAAAGATTGTGTTTATAGGAGCTTTTTTCTAAGTTCTTTAAATATTTATTTGAAAATATTGTATATAGAGGAGAGACCCAGAGAGATCTTCCTTCTGCTTGTTCATGTCACAGATGGCCGCATTTAGCAGGACTGGGACAGAATGAGGCCAGGAACCAAGATCTTCATTTGGGTCTACCACATTGGTAGCATTGCCCAAGCATTTGGATCATCTTCCATTGCTTTTCTCAGGCCATCAGCAGGAAGCTGGATCAAAAGCAGAACAGCCAGAACATGAACCAATGCTCATAGGGGATGCTTGCATTGCAGAAGGCAGGTTTACTTGCTATGTGACAATGCTGGCCCTGTTTTATGGGAACCTCTAAATGAAATTTTAAAGTTGTATGCATTGTAGTTTACATGTAATTCAACTTTCTGCCATACTTACTGATATGTATCAGCATTTGATGTAGGACAAATCAGAAAACACAGTGGCTTAACAAATAGCCATTTGATTTGCAGTTCTGATTCCATGTTATGGGCTGCACTCAGCTGGGCAGTCCCTATGATCAGTCCAGGAGCAGAAATGAGAGTTTAGTCATTTGGGGAACTGATTGAGGCTTCACTTAAGTGTCTGGGGTTTGTGGTGAATCTTGGTTACATACTATCTCCTCAACAGGCAGGCCCCAGGGTTTTTCAGAAGATAACTGTCAAAAAAGGAAAATTTGAGAAGGCAAATACTTTACAAATTGTCTATTTCTGGGGCTAGTTCTGTGGCATAGCAGGTAAAGCCACCACCTGCACTGCGGCATTCCCATATGGGTGTCAGTTCGAGACTCGGCTGCTCTACTTCTGATCCAACTCTCTCCCATGGCCTAGGAAAACAGTGGAAGATGGCCTAAGTCCTTGGGCCCCTACTCCCATGTGGGAGGCCTGGAAGAAGCTCCTGGCTCCTATCTTTGGATCTACACAGCTCCAGCCATTGCAGCCATCTGGGGAGTGAACCTCTGGTTTGAAGACCTCTCTCTCTCCCTCCCTTCCTCACTCTCCCTCTCCCTCTCCCTTTCCCTCCCTCTCCCTCCCCTCTCCCCACCTCTCCTTTCTCTGTGTAACTCTTTCAAATAAATAAATCTTTTAACAAATTGTCTACTTCTATCACATTTTCTGGTATCTCATGGGGTAAATCAAGTAAAAGGGTGAAATTTAGGGTCTTTTTAAAGAAGATTTATTTATTTATTTGAAAGAGTTAAACACAGCGAGAGGGAGAGGCAGAGAAAGAGTGGTCTTTCATCTGCTGGTTCACTCCCCAGTTAGCTGCAATGGCCAGAGTTGTGCCAATCCAAAGCCAGGATCCAGGAGCTTCTTCTGCGTCTCCCACATGGGTGCAGGGGCCCAAGGACTTTGGCCACCTTCTACTGCTTTCCCAGGCCATAGCAGAAAGATGGATCAGAAGTGGAGCAGCTGGGAATCGAACCAATGCCCATATGGGATGCCAGTGCTGCAGGTCACAGCTTTACCTGCTGGGCCACAGTGCCAGCCCAATCAAGGGTTTTGTGAAGGGATGAATACAGGGAAAGATGCTAATTAGAATCATTACTGGTAAAGTGTACTGCATTAAATATACATTATGTGTATTTGTTAACTTTCTTTAGTATAAACTTTTAATAACAACATGTTTATCTCTGATAACCTTATTTATGTGTACACTCAATGTTTCTTTTTACTTTTACATTATTATTTTACAAAATTTGTAGATAATGCTTTCATTAAACCAATGATAACTTCTGTTTAATCTCTGTCACTTAATATAGGTGGTGCATTTTCTATGTATTTCCATTTTTACAGGTTTATTCCTCCACAGTGAAGCTGATGTTTTCTTGGATAATGTATTTATTATTCTTTATTCATTCTATGATATTCTTCTTTTTCCACTGTTCAGTGAAGAAGGAAACAAGAGGTTTTTTTTTTTTTTTAAGATTTCATTTATTTACTTGAAAGTGTTGCAGAGAGAGAGAGAGAGAAAGTCTTCCATCTGCTGGCTCACCCTCCAAATTACTGCAAAGGCCAGAGCTGAGCTGAGCCAAAGCCAAGACCCAAGAGCTTCTGGATCTCCCATGCAGGTGCAGTGGCCCAAGGACTTGGACCATGTTTCACTGCTTTCTCAGGACATAGCGGAGAGTTAGATTGTACATTGAGCAGGCAGGACTTGAACTGGCACCCATATGGAATGCATGCACTGCAAGCAGCAGCTTTACCCATTATGCCACAGCATTGGCCTCCAGAGTTTTCTTTGAACTTCCATTTACCTTCTCTTCCAGGTATGATTCTGGGTCCTCCACATGTTTCTAAGAGGAAAGAAAATTAATATATCACTGTAAGTGTTTTTTTTTTTGTTAATTATTCCCCAGCTTGTCAGTACTTATGAGTTTAATGCTAGTTTATTTACTTATTTTCTTAGATTTGTTTTTTGAAAATCAGAGTTACAGAGTGGCAGAGGGAGAGAGAGAGAGAGTCTTCCATCTGCTGGTTCACTCCCCAGTTTGCCGCAACGGCCAGAGTTGCACTGCTCCAAAGCTAGAAGTGAGGAGCTTCCACATGGGTGCAGGGTCTCAAGGACTTAAGCCATCTTCTACTGATTTCCCAGGCCATAGAAGAGAGCTGGATTGGAAGCAAAGCCACTGGGACTTGACCTGGCACAAATACGGGATGCCAGCACTGCAGGCAGTGGCTTTACCCACTGTGCCACAGTGCCGGCCCCAATATACTAGTTAATTAAAATGGAAAAATATGGGGCTGGCTCTGTGGCTCAGTGGGTTAAAGCCCTGGTCAGAAGCATCAGCATCCCATATGGGAGCCAGTTTGAGACCCAGCTGCTCCACTTCTGCTCCAGCTCTCTATTATTGCCTGGGAAAGCAGTGAAAGATGGCCCAGATCCTTGGGTCCCTTCACCCATGTGGGAGACCCAGAAGAAGCTCCTGGCTCCTGGCTTCAGATTGGTGCAGTTCCAGCCATTGTGGCCAGTTGGGGACTGAACCAGCAGATGGAAGACCTCTCTCTCTCTCTCTCTCTCTGCATAACTCTGACTTTCAAATAAATAAATAAATCTTTAAAATTTTTTAAAATAGAAAAATAAACATAAAATTTGTTCTCACAGAACATACAGAAATGAATGATGAATTTGGCATGATTATGAAACATTACTGTCATCTATAATAACGCAGTTTGGTCTCTTGTCTTTCTTTTGCTATAGCAAAATACATATTTGTTACATGAATTGAGCTGAAACTAAGCAAAATATGCTACATTTTTGGGGTCATGTTGTCTGAAACAGTGTTTATTGTCACATAGATGATGTACTGAGCAGTTTTTTAGTGCTACCTATGAAGTAAACACTTAGCATTCAGCAAGAGGAAGAGTTACCTAGTGCTAAAACACAAATCAGTTAAGTTTGGTTTTGAACTGTTAGAGTAATAGAGTCCTTAGTACATTTGAGAAGCTGAATTGGATTCAGGAATAGGATAAGGAATATGTGGGGGAAAGAATCTACTGGAGACTCATTTATTTTTGAAAATTTATTTATTTATTTGAAAGGCAGAGTTACAGAGATTTGGAGAGACAGGGAGTCAGAAAGAGATATCTTCTATCTACTGTTTCATTCCCCAAATGCCCACAATGGCTGGGACTGGGCCAGGCCAAAGCCAGGAGCTTGGAACTCCATCTAGGTCTCCCACATTGGTGAAGGGTCCAAATACTCAGGCCATCTTTCACTGCTCTTTCAGTCACATTAACAGGGAGCTGGACTGGAAGTGGAGCAGCCAGGACTCAAATCCTCTGTTTACATGGGATGCCAGCAGTGATGGTGGAGGTTTAATCTGCTGCATCACAATTTTGGTGACTATTGTAGGTTCTTGAACAAATCACTAAGCATTTTTCTCTGTGAGTCACAAGTGCAGATTGTACTGCAGACATTCCCAGGTTTTCTTTTTGGACAAGTAATTCCATTGCTTTCACTTTAATTAGGTATAATGTTATTTCAATTCTTTATCAGTAGAATAATCATAGACAAGGGCAAAAGTTAATTTCTATTCTTTGTATTACCTGTATTTTCTCTTACTTAAAAATATTTATTAGCTTGATAGAGAAACAAGTTGATGGACTAAGAATTAGAGAGCTTTGACACATTCAATCACTCACTAAGTAACCATACCAAAGTTGGGGCAGGACTGAAGCCAGGATTGAGGAATGGAATCTAGACCTCCTTCATTGTTGACAACACCACTGCTTCCCAAGGTCTACATTATCTGGGAGCTAAAAACTGAAGCTGGCATTGGAAATCCAACATAGGCACTCTGAGGTGGCATCATAAAAACTAAGCTAAATGTCTGTCCTCTCTTTTAGTATATATTTTTTCTCTGACATATTGGAAGTGATATGCATGGTGTTTTCCTTGAATTTCTTTTCTGTTCATTCCCATCATAGTTTCACTGATGGTTTCTTGCCTTTTTTCCTCAATGCTTCTACATACTTCTCCTTAACATTGCCCATTCAAGAGTCAATATTGCCCCTCTTTTAGCCTGCTGTGCAATTTCCCTTGACAGATGTGGCCTTTGTGATTTGTACCTACTGTTTCCCTTCAGCTTGGACATTTTTCACAGCCTGTAGATCATAGGTTTGACTCTGTTGAATGCTCTGTGTGGCTTTCTAAACCCTCAACAAGTCTAATGTGAAACCATATCCTTCCTTTTTTCCTTCATATCAATACACAACTGTCAGTGTTTATCTTGTGACAGAGTTAATATGTTGACTGGAAGTGTAATGTTACAGGTGATGATAGCATTTGAAGACCTGGCTGTGTACTTTACCTGGGAGGAATGGCAGAAAATGAACAATGCTCAGAAAATCCTGTACAGAGATGTGATGCTGGAGACCTACAGCAGCCTGTTCTCTTTGGGTGAGTAACAGCCATCACATGCCCAGTGATAACATTTTATTGCTATTTGAGAAATAAGGGAACTCTTTATAGTGTTTAATATTGGCCAGGTATAGAATTTGAGCCCATGAATAATCTGGATATCTACCATCCAGCAAGAGATTCAAATTGGAACATTTGTTGCATAGCTCCTGGAGCAAGCTGCAGTCCTTTAAATAACCCAAGATAGTGATTTCACAAAGTCTTACATTGTTTCCATTAATAGGGCCCTGCATTACCAAACCTGACTTGATCTTCAAGTTGGAACAAGGCGCAGAGCCATGGAAGGTGAAAGAATGCCTGAATCAGAGCCTTTCAGGTCAGTCTGTACATAAGTGACAGGGAGGCCAAGACAGAAAATGTGCAGATGTTGACTGGTGCTCTTTCCATGAATTTTTCTCTAGCCTTACTCCTGATGACACTAACTAGTCTGAAGCCAAAACTCCAGAATTCATCTAGTCTTCCCTGGTGTCTCAGAGGTCCCCAGGCACATGAACCATTATCTGCTTCTTCCCAGTTTACATAGGCAAAGAGCTGTACTGAAAGCAGAGTAGCCAGGGCTCAAACTGACACTGATTTGAGATGCAGGCATCCCACACATTGTGGGGAGCAACTCGGATTAGACTGTTACTTGAATTAAGACTTATTCTATGCATCTGCTCTCCCACAATATGGCTCTGGGAGAGGAGGAAACAGCTTCTACACAGCTGCCTCTAGTTCAACCAATAAACTGTAGGACCTGCTCCTGATTGGAGGAGAGCAGCGTACTCGGCGTGTGGGTAGCAGAGTTGGGATTGGTGGAAGAGGACTATAAAGGAGGAGAGAGACAACATGCACCGGGAACATCTATCTGAAGGAACACCTGTGCAGCCCCCGAGAGAGCCAGCCGGCGGTGTGCCGCTCCCCCGCGGAAGTGGGGAAAGTGGCAGGGGGAACCGCCCTTCCACGGAGGTGGAAGGGACGGTAGCCAACCCGGGAAGAACCAGCAGCAAACCCGGGAAGGGCCGAGCAGACAAAAGAACAGCGCAGGGTCCTGTGTCGTTCCTCCGTGAAGAGGGGGAGCGACAACACATCATAGCACAAATGTCATTCTACCATCCTTGAACAATTCCCATAGTAAAAAGGATCATGTTTGAACACTGGGAAACTTCATGATATAATTTAATATATTAATGTATTAAGGAGAAAAACCATATAATGGTTATAAATAAGTACCTCATACTGATTTTATGAAAATATTATGCTACTTGGATAACAAGCAACTTCATTTCCTTTATATGAGTATGCCAGGAGAAACAGTTACATTTGATTCAGTGACATGATTGCTTTTTCTCATTTCAGTGGGCATGAAAAGAGATGACCCGATTTGGATCAACCAGGAAAGTCAGGACAAAATTCTGAATCAGGATTTTATGAAAAATAACAAGACATCAACCCCCAAGAGAGTTGAATTAAGAAAAACACTTAGTTTAAATTCAAGCCATACTCCAACACTGATTATTAAAAAGGGAACCTATTCAGGATTGAAGCCTGAGGAATGCAATAAATGTCACAATGTGTATCCCCCCAGTGGACCTGATCAACTACAGGCTGGAGAAAAATTTGATAACACTAAGATACCTGGAAATTCTCTCCAGTTCTGTGAGCCTCTTGGTCAGCATGACAAGACTCACATCATGGAGCAGCCATTTGGACCCAGTGGACAAGCAAAAGTCTTCACAAGAAAGATGTGTTGTAAATCTGAGAGAGTTCATATGGCAGAAAATCATAATAAGTCAACTGTCACTTTTGGAAAAGCATCTCAAATAGAAAAAACTATCCATGAAAATTCTAGCTTCAATATGCATCAACAAACTCACACAAGAGAGAAATTTTATGAATACATTAGGTATGTTGAACCTGTCATTCACCAGTCACATCTTGCAATAAATCAGAGGCTAAATACAAAGGAAAAACTCTACACATGTAAACCTTGTGGAAAATCACTCAGTTTTAATTCACCTTATGAATGTAATGACTATGGAAAAGCTTTTGGACAAAAGTCAAACCTTATAATGCATGAGAGAATTAACACAAGGGAGAAACCTCATGAATATGATGACTGTGAAAAAGCCTTTACACAAAATTCACACCTCATAAACAATCAGCAAATTCACACAGGGCAGAAACCTCATGAATGTAATGACTGTGGAAAAGCCTTTGGTCTTAAGTTCCAACTCCAAATGCATCAGAGGATTCACACAGGGAAATAAATTTAAAATTTGTATGACTGTGGAAAAGCCTTTTTGTATAAATTATACCTCATATTGAAACAGAATTCATACAGGGCAGAAACCTTATGAATCTAATGAGTGTGGGAAAACCTTTTGTTAAATCATAGCTCATGTCACACCAGAGAATTAACACCGGGGAGAAACCTCATGAATTCAATGACTGTAGAAAAGCCCTTCGCAATAAGTCACATCTGAGAATGCATCAGAAAATTCACATGAAGAAAAGCCTTTTGAACATAATGACTTGGAAAGCTTTTTTCCATAATTCAGCCCTCATTGGACATCATCTAACTCATATAGGAGGAAAACCCTTTGAATATAATGCATATGGGGAATCTTTTATCTATAAGTAACACCTCATAAAACATCAGAGAATTCACATGGGGGAAAAACCTTATGAATGGAATGAGTGTTGGAAAACTCTGCCAAAATCACAATATCAGAGAATTTATTACATGGTGGAAATCTTGTAATAAATGTGAGAAAGACTTTTGTCAGAAGTAATACCTCGTAACACATGTAGTTGAAACAAGGGAGAGAACTTAAGAATATAATGAATGTGAAGGACTTTTCCCAAAATCAACATAACCATTGTGACAAAGCCTTTTGCTGGAAATTACATCCCATACAATAGGGACTCCCATAAGAAAGAAAGGTCAGGACCAGCACTGTGGTGTAGTGGGTTAAAGCCCTGGCCTGAAGCACCGGCATACCATGTAGGCACTGGTTCTAGTCCCAGCTGCTCCTCTTCTGATCCAGCTCTCTGCTATGGCCTGGGAAAGCAGTAGAAAATGGCTCAAGTCCTTGGGCCCCTGCACCCATGTGGGAGACCCAGAAGAAGCTCCTGGCTCCTGGCTTTGGATTGCTGCAGCTCCAGCCATTGCATCCGTCTGGGGAATGAACCAGCAGATGAAAGACCTCTCTCTCTGTACCTCTCTCTGTAACTCTATCTTTCAAATAAACAAATTGTTAAAAAAAAAGGAAGAAAGGTCAAAAATATTAGTGACAAAAAGTCATTTGTTAGAAATCGATCATTATGCATCAGAGAATTTACACAAGGGGTTTCTTAGGAGTGTAATGAATGTGGAAGTATATTTTAATGGAATTCAGGCTTGCATAAATATGCAACTCAAAAAAGGTGATATCCATCAAGTGCAGTAGATGTGAAAAAACCATAGCCAGCACCATGGTGCAGTAAGTTAATCCTCTACCTGCAGTGCTGGTATGCCATATGGGTGCCAGTTCTAGTCCCAGCTGCTCCTCTTCCAATCCAGCTCTCTGCTGTTGCCTGGGAAAGCAGTAGAAGACAGTCCAAGTGCTTGAGCCCCTGCACCTGCATGGGAGACCAGGAAGAAGCCCCTAGCTTCTGGTTTTAGATTAGTGAAGCTGTGGCTGTGGTGGCCATATGGGGAGTGAGCCAATAAAGTAAGACCTTTCTCTCTGTCAAATAACTAAACAAAAACCCTTAAAAAAGAAATTAAACATCAACAAACACCAGAGTATTCATACAGCAAAATATCAATTAAATGAATGTGAAAAAATTCTTCTGCCATTAATCAATTCACATTGAAGAGACTCAGAAATGAGAAAATACATGCGTAGAAAAGTTATGTACTATATGTCATCTCCCAATGGTTACCTGACAGTTCACAGAAAGAAAAAATTCCATGACTATATTGTAATGGGAAATATCATTATTATTAGGCAGACTTCCACAAAACATAACAAGATTATAGAGAGAAGTCCCTGAAATATAATTTGTTTGGAATTCTTTGGAGGAATCACACCTTAGCAAGTATTGGGCAGTTTCTGTGATAAATTGTGATAGAGAGTGGTTAACCATTGTTCAGAAATTTTTTCTCTTATACAACCTGCTTTTTTGGTTTCTCTTTGTGAACGGGATCAAGTATATGAACTGAACTATGCTCTCTTGTGTAAATTTTAATAAATATTTAAAAGTAGAGTAACAGTTATTGCAATAGTTATTTGGAATACCATCTTCATCAATTACAGCTACTTGTTTTATGTCTGCTTTTTTGTCCACCCAGGATTCTTTCCCCACATTATTGTAGTGCAAACCAGTGATGTGACCATAGGTATATCAAGTGACACATATTCCAGCCATAATAGTGTACCCCAGCCCTGGATAATAAATGTTGTGTGAAGCACAAGGGAATGAGTTTGTGATGACTTATATATCCATGATAAATTTCAACTTACCTGTGTGCGCATCTGGATTAGACTCCACTACCCAAGGTCTATTTGAATATGCAAGTAGATGTTGTCCCACACATCACCCTCATTCTTAAAAGGGACAACCTCAAACCCTATAAGTTGCAACACTCATCTTTTGAATTTTCCTGTATTACTGAGTGCATAATGCCTTTTTCATTCATGAAATTCTTCATTCAATTCCTAATTTCCTTGAGACAAGAACATGGATTCAAGTCTATCCAGGTGGTACCCATTGCAACAGAGAAGCAGGAGCATAAATGTCCACTTTTTTAAAAAGGTTTATTTATTTGAAAATCAGAGTTACACACAGAGAGAGAAAGGTCTTCCATCCACTTGTTCACTCCCCAATTAGCCACAATGGCAGAAACTGCTGATCTGAAGCCAGGAGCTTCCTCCTGATCTCCCATATAGGTGCAGGGGCTCAAGCACTTGGTCCTTTTTCCATTTCCCAGGCCATAGCAGAGAGCTGGATTGGAAGTGGAGCAGCCGGGTCTCAAACCGGCACCCATATGGAATGTAAGCACTTCAGGCCAGGGCATTAATCTGTTGCATCACAGTCCTAACTCCTCTAGTATAATTTTGTATTAATTTAACTTTACTATAATTTTTATAACCTTTTTTTGTTGTATTATTCCCTGCTCCTACAGGTGACCCTCATTTTTATTGAAAATGTGTGTTTTTATCCCTTCCAATTTACAAAGTTCTTTATTTATGTAAATCTAATTTATATTCAGTTCATTCCTGAGGATACCCTCAGGAGGAACACTTTACCTAGGTTGCATGGCCATCCCTTGGTAACAGGGCTACAAATGCTATGATGCATCTAGCGGTAATAGCTCTTATATTTCCCATCTAGATAATAGGTGTGCATTAATCCATTCCACCTCCATTACTACACATTAGAAATAGCTCTTCATCCCTGTTTAAGTACCCACAGCTTCTTACAAGTGTTCATCATATTAAATCTTATTATAAACAGATTTAATAGAAAATGGTGTGGCTGCTTGTAGTTTCAGTGAGGTTGAGTGATTTGCTGGACTGCTGTTTTATCTGGGTTATCTTTCATATTACTTAGAACTAATTTTTCACAATATAGCTTGCCTGAGCACTTTTTCTAGGCTCCCAGCTAAACAGGTGTTTGAAGACTAGATTTAATGTTAATTCTCATAGTACAACTCATTATGGACAGAGGTCTCACATGGGGAGCACAGATCCTTATGTGGTCCTTGTGACAGAGCAGATATTATACACACCTGTTTCAGTACTCAGGCACTGGGCTCCATTGAAGAGAAGAGCTCAGCTGAACAGAATATAACTCCCTTCTGATTAAAAAAAGGAGAGAGAAGACTTAACATGCCAAACCTGGTTGTGTCACCTTAGGCATACCCTTTACCCTTGAGAACTCACCAGAGCTCTCTGGCCACACCTACTACAAGCCTCTAGAGATTCACTGAAAGCAGAAAGTCCATTTATCTACAGTTATAATACAATGATAAAAACTGCCACAGCAGAAAAAAAAAATGAGTATCTCCTGAAATGCCGAGCAAATGCAAGAATCCAAGAAACAAGAATAAGGAAGACATCATGATGTTCCCAAAAGAGTACGACACATAAATATTAGATCATGAAGATGATGAGATAGAAGAAATGCAAGAAATGGAACTCAAAAATTTGATCATAACATTAAAAAGAAGTAATTAAAAGCAAACACACAAAGTACTGAAACCCATGAAGAACATGAAAGAAAATCTCTCGCATGAAATTGAAATTATAAGGAGGGATCAAAGCAAGATGAAGAATTCAATAGGACATGAAACTGAGATATTAAAGAGAAATCAAAGTGAAATGAATAATTCAATAGAACAAATAAAAAATCCAGTGGAGAGCCTTAAAAATAGAATCAATGAAGCAGAAGAGAGAATATCAGACATAGACAGAGCACAGGGAAGTATACAGTCAAACCAAAGACAAGAGGAAATTAGAAATCTAAAAAACACTGTTGGGAATCTACAGGATACTATTAAAAAAAAAAAAAAAAACTCATGTTCTAGGAGTTCCTGAAGGCATGGAGAGAGAGAAAGGATTAGAAGGCACTTTTAGTGAGATACTAGCAGAAAACTTTCTGGGTTTGGAAAAAGGAAGAGATGTCCAAGTACAGGAAGCACACAGAACTTCGAATAGACATGACCAGAAAACATCCTTGCCATGACACATTGTAATCAAACTAACCACAGTGAAACAAATAGAGAAAATTCTAAAATGTGCAAGAGAGAAATGCCAGATTACTTTCATAGGATTTCCAATTAGACTCACAGTAGACTTCTCATCAGAAACCCTGCAGGTTAGGAGAAAATGGCAAAATCTAGCCCAAGTCCTAAGAGGAAAAAACTGTCATTCCAGATTATTATACCCTGCAAAGCTCTCATTTGTGAATAAAGGTGAAATGAAGACCTTTCATAACAAACAGAAATTGAAAGAATTTGCCACCACTTGTGTGGGGAAATTAGACACAGGAGGCAATTCAAAGATGGCTCCTGCAGGGAAATTAGACAAACGTGGCAATTCAAAGATGGCGCCCAAAGAAAGGTGGGTGGTACCCAAAGTCATTTACCACCAAAGCTGATTGGCCACGCAGCATCAGGAGAGGTGACAACTGATGATGAGTGTACAGACATATGGCTGGTCCTGTAAAAAGTCACCCTGTAAAATGACCTTTTAAGTAATTGGTTGGTCCTTATGCCCTGCCCCAGTAATCCTGTGGTCTTGTGCTTTAAAAGGCTTTGTTATGCACGCAATAAACTGAGTTCTTGCTTCCTTGACTTGACTCTCCACTGCATCTGTCTCTGGGATCGGGAGGCTGAGGAACAGGTGAGCAGTGCACTTACCTTTCTTTGGACTCAGTCCATCCTTGTTAGGGTGGACTAAGACCCTGCATCTGGCACCCAACGTGATGCATGACCAGTAGCTTTTCAGCCGAAGCTAAGCGGTCTCTCAGGATAAGTGAAACATTCAGTATGGGTGATGCAGTTTCATCCCCAAAGGACCAGGCCTTAAAGGCCTTATGCTATATGTTTGAAAGTGTCTGGGAAGCTGTCATAACCCTGGCCCTTTGGATTCAGATGGCCAATCTCTTTTCTTGGAACACTTTGTCATGGGTGGAAAAACTCACCCTTGAGAGGGAGAGACACTTTGATACCACCCGTAAAACATCCTTCCACCCAGATGCTATACCCCCAACTTCCAAGGGTGAGAGGGAGAAGGAGGCAGCGCAGGACTCGGGAGAGCATACTAGGCCCTAAAGCAAGCCTCAGCAAATTCAGAAAAATCAAAATCATACGATGCATCTTCTCGGACCACAATAGAATGAAGCTGGAAATCTGCAAATCAGGAATCTCTAGAGCATATGCAAACACATGGAGACTGAACAACATGCTCCAGAATGAACAGTGGGTCACAGAAGCAGTTAAAAGAGAATTCAAAAAATTTTCTGGAAGCAAATGAAGATAACAACACAACATATCAAAACTTAAGGGATACAGCAAAAGCAGAGAAAATTCCATGCACTACTGAGAAGAAAGCCTATTCTGGAACTGTAGGATGAAAAGTTCTGTAGATATCTCTTAGGTCTATTTGGTCTATAGTGTTGAATAAATCTGCTGTTTTCTTGTTGATTTTCTTTCTGATTGATCTATTCACTACTTAAGGGGGTATAATGAAGTCCCCCAATTCTATTATATTGGAATCTAAGTCTCTCTTTAAATCCCTTAACATTTCTTTTAAATAGGCAAGTGGCCTATAATTATTTGCATATACATTCATAATAGTTACATCTTCCTGGTGAATTGATCCCTTAATCATTATATAGTATCTTTTGCCTCTGTTAACAGTTTTTTTTATTAAAGTTTATTTTGTCCTATATTAAGATGGCTACACCAGCTCTCTTTTGGTTTTGATTGCACGGAATATCTTTTGCAACCTTCACTTTCAGTCTGCATGCAACTTTGTTGGAAAGATGTATTTCTTGCAAACAGCAAATAGATGGGTTTTGCTTTTTAATCCATTCAGCTAGTCTGTGCCTTTTAACTGGAAAGTTGGGGCTATGTGCATTCAATGTGACTATTCATAAGTAACAACTTTGCCATATTTCTGTGTGTACCAACAACATCATTAAGCATCTTTGCAGGGCTGGACAATATCACCTTTCCTCACAACCCCTGTCCTGAATCAATCATTGTGATGTACAGTTTACATCCTCCTATCACTTTTCTCTTGTATTTATATACACATGTCTATAGAAATATGCAGTGAAGGGAAGACAGATTTCATGTGGATTTGAGTTTGGAATACTACAATATTAAATATTACATTAAACCCCAAAATAATCCAATATGTACTTTTAAAAATATCAGAAATCATATAACTTTCTTATGTAGTATAATTGAGTTATGAATATAGCTCACTTATCATGGAATTCATGAACTAAAAATATACATACAATTCATTCCTTTCCAGTTCTTGGTAGCCATCTCTGCTGCCAATTTAGAACATTTTAGCACCTCTAAAAGAAAGTAGGAGGTGGGGGCAGTTGGCCTAGTGCTCAACATGCTGCTGGGGACACCCAGATCACATAGTGCCAGGGTTTGAGTGCCATTTCCACTGCTGGTTGAATTCAATCTTCCTGCTAGTGGAAACCCTGGGGACACATCCAGCAGGCAACAGCTCAAGTGACTGGGAACCTTAAGCCATTTGGAGACCTGGATTTAGTTCCCAGCTCCCAACTTTTAAAAAGTTGTTTTAAAAATAATCAATTTGTTAAAAAGAGAAAGAGAGAAAGGGAGAGAGAGAGAGAGAGATCGGAAGAGAGATTATCCACCCAGTAGTTCACTCACCAAATGCCTACTACATCTAAGACTGGGCCAGCCTGAAGCCAGAAACCTTAGATTTCAATCTGTGTTTCCATGCAGATTGCAGGAACCCATGTACTTACTAAACATCGCCTACTACGATCACCTACTGCCTCCCATGGTGTGCACCAGCAAGAATATGGAATTGGAAGAGCAAGGTTCAAACTCAGCTACTCTCTGATATGGAATGTAGACATCCCAAACAATTTAACTACTACACCAATCATCCATCTCAGCATAAAAATTTTATATTAGAGTATCAAGTAGATGTTACCTCCTTTCCTCTCATGGAAAACATTTACAAACAGACAACAAACCTTTGAAATATTGATTTTCCATGGGAGAAAATGGTTTATAATGCTGTAAGTTTCAGGGTAGAAGTTGGCATCTGGCTACTTGGGGAGATCTCTGCACATTTATGGGTTTGTTGTCAGACTTAGTGCTCTGAATTGGAAATGATTTGTCCCCTCTGAAACTCATGAGGAAATTTAACCCCAATTGTGAGATATTAAAAAGTGGGTCCAAGGACCAGTGCTGTGGCCTAGCAGGTAAAGCTGCCACCTGTGGTGCCCGCATCCCACATGGGCACCAATCCAGCTCTCTCTTATGGCCTGGTAAAGCAGTAGAGGATGGCCCAAGTCTTTGGGCCTCTGCACCAGAGTGAGAGACCCAGAGGATGCTCCTGGCTCCTGGCTTCGGATCAGCCCAGCCAGTTGTGGCCACATGGGGAGTGAATCAATGAATAGAAGACACCTCTCTCTCTAGCTCTCTCTCGCTCTCTCTCACTCTCGCTCTCTGCTTCTCCTCTTCTCTGTGCGTAACTCAGACCTTCAAATAAATAAATGAATCTTAAAAGGGAGGGGGAGTCCAGGTCAGACTTCATAAGAGGTGACTAGGATAAATCCACTCACGTGATTAACGGGTTAATGGCTGATCTCCTCGGGGTCTCCCATGAAATCCACTTTGGATTGGCCACTCTCCGTGGCCCTGTATTTGTCCCTGAGCCACCTCAGGCCTCTGCCAAAAAAAAAAAAAAAGGACACCGCCAGACGCTGCTCAACCTCGGACCAAAACCTTGAGCCAAATAAACCGCTTCTACCACCCACCCGGCGTGGGACGCTGTGCTCAGGTAACAGCAGAAGGACTCAGTGCCCCAGGAAGAGCTACTCCGAGAGAACCCGGCGGTGTACCTGAGACTCCACTCCCCGTGCAGTTAGAAAACTCAGGGCAATCAGGCACCCTGGGCAGAGAGAGGGGCAGGAGGACCCGCAGACCACAGCTCCTCCCCACAGTGCAGTCCACAGTCTCCCTGAGGACCAGCCCGCCCTAACTGCACAAACAGGGCAGACCTGGGGCTGCGGTCCCTGGGCGGAGTCCGCACGGGCAGAAGCCCGGGTCCTGGCCACCAGCGCAGCTCCCACCCGGTGGGCCCCACACTCACCATTTCCTCGCTTCCGCGGCATTCTGGGGTCCGTGGGCGGCTCCTGCGGTGCAGGAAGGTCACACAGCGCAGCCCCTGAGGCACCTGAGCCCGCTCAGCAGCAGCCCCGGGGACCCCTCCCAGCGCTGCCACAAAGAAAGATCCCGCGGGGCTCCGCAGGGTCACCCTGACGTGCCTGATTGGACAGTGGCCGCAGCCGGCCGCGCGACGTCACAGAAGGTGCAGCCAATCAGAATCCCGTAGGCTGGGGCGGTTCCTTGGGGCGGTGCCTGGTAACAGGGGAGGTGGGGCTCAGACTGAAGCCGCCGTGTTCTCCGGCCCGGGTGCTCCGGCAGCAGGGGGCGCTGTCCCTGCTCTGGGCACCTCAGCTTCTGGGCGCCCTCAGCTGTCTGCGGTCCTGCTGGATCCTGTGAGTCCAAGCTTGCTTCCTGAGAGCTGCAGTTTACAAGATGCTTGCTGAACGCGTGCCTTTCCCGCAGTCTTGGCTTGCTGTTGTTAGCTCATCTGAAGGTTTGTAAAGCTGTTTATCTGAATGTAGTTAAAGATATCCCATGGACTATTTCATCTTTCATTTCTCTTACAGGGATGTGTTTGTGAGTCTCTGTTTTGTCCTTCAAATCGTTTTCTGTTTATTTCCTGCTGGTGAATAGTATACCAGTTGATGGCATATATTGACTTTCTACCCAGTAATCTTGTTTAATTTTGTTAATATTTTCTGTTATATCTGAATTATGTTGGATTGTCTGTTGATAATGGCATCACCCACATATATTGACAATTTTGTTGCTTAAAAGTTGGTCCTTTCACCCAGTATTTCCTTTTTATTAATTTACCTGACCACAACTCATGTACAATCTTGAAGAGAAATAATGAGAACAGAGAGCTTTGTCTAGGTCTGCTTCCAGAGAAAAAGATTTCAATGTTCTGTGTCAATTATGCTGTTTTTAATAGGCTCACTAGTAGGTAAGCTTAGTTGGAATAATGAAGTTGCTGTGATGTACTATTCTAACAGCTTCTTATTTAAGGTTAGATACCAAATTTGATTAAGTATTCTAATCTAAGGGATTATATAACTTTTTCTTGTATTTTTACTTACACAGATAATCGACACTCATTTTTAATTGTTAACCACCTTTGCATCTTTTAGTATATCCAGCCTGTTATTAATATATGACTTTACATATTGTTTAACACAATAATTTTTCTTAGCATATTTGTATTGCTTTTTATTCAAGAGATGTTCCTTAAATTCCTTTTTATTTCATGTCCTTATTTGATTATGTCATCAATAGACTGTTGGATGTACAAGGGACATCTTTACTGCATTATATGATGATACTACTGTAGGCTTCAAAAGAGCAGGTCAAGGTAATCTTTATTTTCCCAAAGAAACTGTTTATTTAATGAGTACAAATTTCATAAGTACAACCTTAGAAATATAGTAATTCTTCTGATCATGCTCACCCTTCACCCCCACTCCCACCCACATCCTCCTCCCTCTCCCATTCTCACCCATTCTCCATTAAGAAAAAAAAGAACTCTCTCCACAGTCAAGAAAAGTGCTGTTCAAGTCATTGCTTCTTAAAGTGTCAATTTCACTTCTACAGATTTCCTTTCAATTTATTTATTAGTTATCACAGTATATTTCCCTTTTGGAATGGCTTATTTCACTAAGTATGATGATTTCCAGATTCATCCATTTTGTTGCAAATGACAAGATTTCATTTTTTAACCACTGTGAAGCATCCCATAGAGTACATATCCCATAATTTTTTTATCCAGTTTTCAGTTGACAGACATTTAGTTTGATTCCATGTCTTAGCTATTGTGAACTGAGCTTCAGTAAACATGGCGGGAGAGGGTGCAGATAACTCTTTTATTTGCTGATTTCATTTCCCTTGGGTAAATTCCCAGAAGTGGGATGGTTGGGTCATATGGTAGGTCTATATTCAGATTTCTGAGGTATCTCCAAACTGATTTCAATAATGGTTTTACCAGTTTACATTCCCACCAACAGTGGATTAGGGTACATTTTTCCATACATCCTGACCAGCATTTTTGGTTTGTTGATTTCTGCATGAAAGCCATTCTAACTGTGTTGAAATGAAACCTCTTTGTGGTTTTGATTTGCATTTCCCTTCTGACTAGTGATCCTGAACCATTTTTCATGTGTCTTTTGACCATTTTGGATTTTCTCTTTTGAAAATTATCTGTTTAAATCTTTGGCCTATTTCTTAAGTGGGTTGTTTAGTTTTGTTGCTGTGGAGATACTTGATCTATTTATATATTCTCATTATTTATCCTTTATCACTTGCATTGTTTGTAAATAATTTCTCCCATTCTGCTGGTAGCCTCTTCACTTCCCTGGGTGTTTCTTTTGCAGTACAGAAGCTTTTCCATTTGATATAATCTCATCTGTTGATTTTTGGCTTTGATTGCCTGTGCCTCTGGGATCTTTTCCAAGAAAGCTTTGCCTTTGCCAATGTTTTACAGGGTTTCCCAAATGCTCTCCAGTAATTTGATAATATCAGGTGATAGATTTAGGTCTGTAATCCATTTGTAATTGGTTTTTGTCTACGGTGTAAGGTAGGGGTCCTTCTTCAGATGCCTGCATGTGGAAATCGAGTTTTCCCAGCACCATTTGTTGAAGAGACTGTCTTTGCTCCAGAGATTGGTTTTAGCTCCTTGGTCAAATAAAATTTGGTTGTAGATGCTTGGATTGATTTCTGATGTTTCTATTCTGTTCCACTGATCTATCCATCTGTTTTTGTACCAGTACCAGGCTGCTTTAATTATAACTGCTTTGTAATATGTCTTGAAATCTGGTATTGTGATGTTCTTTGTCTTTTTATGTATAAGGTTGCTTTAGCAATTCAAGTTCTCCTATGCCTCCAAATGAATTTTAGCATCATTTTTTCTAGATCTGAGAAGAATTCCTTTGGTATTTTGATTAGTATCACATTGAATCTGCAAATTGCTTTTGGAAGAATGGACATTTGATGATATTGATTCTTCCAAACCATGAACATGGGAGATTTTTCCAATTTTTTGTGTCTTCTATTTCTTTTTTAATGTTTTGTAATTCTCATCATAGAGATTTTTGACATCCTTGGCTAAATTTATTTCAAAGAATAATATTTTTTGGTAGCTATTGTGAATGTGACCGATCTTAGAAGTTCTTTTTCAGTCATGGCATTATCTGTATATACAAAGGCTGTTGATTTTTGTCTATTGACTTTGTATCCTGTTACTTTGCCAAAGTCTTCTATGGGTTCCAATAGTCTCTTGGTGGAGTCTTTTGCATCCCTTATATATAGAATCATGTCATCTGAAAATAGGGATACTTTGACTTCCTCATTCCTAATTTGAATCCCTTATTTCTTTTTGTTGTCTAATGACTCTGGCTAAAAGTTCCAGGACTGTATTGAATAGCAATGGCAAGAGTGAATATCCTTGTCTGGTTCCAGATCTCAGTGAGAATGCTTACAACTTTTCCCCCATTCAATATGTCACTGATGGTTGATTTGTCATAAATTGCCTTGATTTTGTTCAGGAATGTTCTTTCTATACCCAGTTTGCTTAGAGTTTTCATCATAAAAGGGTGTTGTATTTTATCAAATGCTTTCTTTGCATCTATTGAGATAATCTAATGTTTTTTCTTCAACAGTTTGTTAATGTGATGTATCACATTGATTGTTTTGCAAATGCTGAACCATCCTTGCATACCAGAGATAAATCCCACTTGATCCGGGAGAATGATCTTCCTTATGTGTTGCTGGATTTGAAAGGCTAGAATTTTGTTGAGGATATTGCATCTGAGTTCAGGGAAATTGGTCTGTAATTCTCTTTCTTTGTTGTATCTTTTCCAGGTTTAAGAATTAAGGTGATGATGGCTTCATAAAAAGAATTTGGGAGGATTCCCTCCTTTTCAATTGTTTTGAATAACTTGAGAAGTGGTGTTTTTTAAATATCTGGAAGAATTCATCAGTGAAGAAATTTGGTATGAGCTTTTCTTTGTTAGGAGGGCCGTTATTACTGATTCAATTTGTGTCTTGGTAATGGGTCTGTTTAGATTTTCTATGTCTACATGGTTCAATTCATGTGGGTTGTTTGTGTCCAGGAATCTACCCAATTCTTTAAGGTTTCCCAGTTTGTTGGCATGCAGCTCTTTGTAGTAATTTCCGATGATTCTTTTTATTTCTGTGGTGTCTGTTGTTACATTTCCTTTGTCTTTTTTTTGACAGGCAGAGTTAGACAGTGAGAGAGAGACAGAGAGAAAGGTCTTCCTTCCGTTGGTTCACCCCCCACATAGCCACTAAGGCCGGCGTGCTGTGCCATTCCAAAGCCAGGAGCCAGGTGCTTCCTGCTGGTCTCCCATGCGGGTGTAGGGCCTAAGCACTTGGGCCATCCTCCACTGCCTTCCTAGGCCACAGCATAGAGCTAGACTAGAAGAGGAGCAACTGGGCAGAACCGGCACCCCAACCGTGAGTAGAACCCATAGTGCCAATGCTGCAGGCAGAGGATTAGCCTAGTGAGCCCTGGTGCCAGTTGGTTATTTAAATTTTTTATAGTTATTGTTAATGGGATTGATCTTAGAAGTTTTTTCTCAACCATGACATTGTCTGTGTATACATTGGCTATTGATTTTTCTGTGTTAATTTTATATCCTGACACTTTACCAATCTCTTTTTTGAGTATCAATGGTCTCTTCTTGGAGTCCTTTCTTCCCGTATATATAGAATCATGTCATCTGCAATTAGGGATAGCTTGATTTCCTCCTTCCCAATTTGCATGCTTTTTATTTCTTTTTCTTGCCTAATGGCTCTGGCTAAAACTTCCAGGATATTGTTGAATAGTAACGGTGAGAGTGGGAATCGTTGCCATATTCTATTCTTAGTGGGAAAGCTTCCAACTTTTCCCTATTAAGTAAGAGGCTGGCTGTGGGTTTGTCATAGATTGCCTTGTCTCAAGGAGTGTTCCTTCTATACCCAAGTTGCTTAAGGTTTTCATCAAGAAAGGATATTGTATTTTATCAAATGCTCTCTCTGCATCTGTTTAGATGTCATAGGGTTTTCATTCTTCAGTTTGTAATGTGATGTATCACATTTATTGATTTGTGAATGTTGAAACATCCCTGCACACCAAGATTAAATCCCACTTGGTCTGGGTGAATGATCTTTCTGATTGTGTTGTTTGATTCAATTGGCTAGTATTTGGTGAGGATTTCTGCATCTATGTTCATCAGGGAAATTGGTCTATAGTTCCCTTTCTCTGCTGTATCTTTTTCTGGGTTTAGGAATTAAGGTGATGCAGGCTTCATAAAAGGAGTTTGGGAGGAGTCTCTCCCTTTTAATTGTTTTGAATAGCTTGAGAAGAATTGAAATTAGTTCTTTCTTTAAATACCTGTTAGAATTCTGTAGTGAAGCCATTTGGTCCTGGGCTTTTCTTTGTTGGGAGGGCCTTCATTATTGATTCAATCTCCATCTTGGTTATCAATCTTTTTTGGCTTTGTATGTCTTCATGGCTCAATTTTGGTAGGTTTATGTGTCCAGGAATCTATCCATTTCTTCTAGGTGACCCTATTTGTGGGCATACAGATCTTTGTAGTAATTCCTAATAATTTTTATTTCTAACACAAATATATTTAAGAGAATTTCTCACTGTCAATTGAGAAAATTGACATGCTTAGCTTATTACCTTGATCAAAGGCGATCTAGTGTTCTATCTACTCATTAGAAGAATTTTCATGGAGCTGAATGTAATTCAAAAATCTATCTGTTCCAAAAGCATTTCCATGTCAAAGACATAGACTCTAGAATCCTCAATTATCTGCTCTCTTACTGTTTCACATCATTATATATTATATGAAATATAATATGCAATTAGATTTTTAAAAAAATATACTTATTTATTTCAAAGGAAGAGTGATAGGCTATTTCCCATCAGTTGCTTCATTCCCCCAAAGGCCTGCAATAGCATGGCTGGGTAAGCCTGATTCAGGAGCCAGTAATTTAGTCAGTGTTTCCCATATGGTTGATAGATGTCTGATTAATTAGACCATCACCTGCAGCCTCTCAGGGTGTGCATTCATAATAGGGGCTCTCTGAGGGGTCAGACCTGTGGCAGAGCAGATAAAGCCGCTGCCTGTAATGCTGGTATTCCATATGGGCACAGATTCAAGTCCCAGCTGCTCTGCTTCTGAGAGATCTCCCTGCTAATGTGCCTAAGAAAGCAGCAAAAGATGGCCCAAATTATTGGTTCCCTGAACCCACATGGGATATCTAGAAGAGGCTCCTGGCTTGTGGCTTCAGATCCACCCTGCCCCAGCTGTTGCAGCCATCTGGGGATTGAACCGGTGGATGGAAAATCTGCTTCTCTCCCACCCCTAACTCTGCCTTTCAAATAAACAAAATAAACAATTTTTAAAGGCACTCTGATATAGGAGTGTTCCAAGTAGCATTGTCAAATGCTTGTCCCTGTAATCAGTAAAATAAAACTCTTTCTAATAGAGAGCTGTTCAGAAATTCATGGCCTCAGAGAACATCAGTAGTTTACACTTATTTCAAGTTAAGACTAACATTCTTGCAGAAATTATCTGAATTTCTTATCAGAACAAGTCAAACTCCACAAAGCAGAAGGGTCTCTATGCAAACTCATGGGGGCACCTTTTATAGCCATTTAGAACTTGGACAGAGCAAAAGTGTTCATCATGTTTTCTTTAACTTACATAGCTATTGTACATAATGAGGGAGAAAAATTTGTTGACGATGTCATAATGTGATTACATTGATCTTGAGCTTAATTCAGATTAAGCAGACTATGCCTTTTAGATCATAAAGCTGATGCAATCATGAACTTTAGAATAAAGGAGATCACAACTTGTGCAAAGTGTCTGAAAATCTGAGTCCTCAAATGTAGTGACTACAACATCAATGAGTCAGTCATGGAAATTTTCCAACTATTTTATCCCTTTTGCAGTAAGTTACACCCTCCTTTGTCTTAAAAAAAGATTTTGGGGCAGTGCTGTGGTATAGTGGGTAAAGCCACCGCCTGCTGTGCTGGCATTCCATATGGGTGCTGGTTCAAGTTCTGGCCACTCCACTTTCAATCCAGCTCTCTGCTATGGCCTGGGAAAGCAGTGGAAGATGGCCCAAGTCCTTGGGCCCCTGCACCTGCATGGAAGACCTGGAAGAAACTCCTGGCTCCTGGCTTCAGATCGGTGCAGCTCTGGCCTTGGCAGCCATCTGGAGAGTGAACCAGTGGATGGAAAAGTCTCTCTTTGTCTATCCTTCTCTCTGTGTGTGACTCTCACTTTCAAATAAATGTTTTTTAAAAAAGATTTTTTTTTCTCAGCTCATTTAAAAGTCAGAGCAACAATGAGGGGGAGACAAATATATTTTTCATTCACTGGTTCACACTGCAATGGCTACAACAGCCAATGCTAAGCCAGTCTGAAGAAAGGAGACAGGAACCCCATCTAGGTGGCACAAACTCAAGTACTTGGGACATTATCCCATACCTCCCAGGGGCATTACACAAACCCGAATTGGAAGCCATAAAGTAGCCAGGACTCAAACCAGGCACTTTGAATTGGGATGCTCAGATCTCAACCTCTGAATCACACCCAACCCATGATCTAATTTTTAATTTTCAGGTTACTAGGCACAGGGCACCAGCATTTTGAGAACAGTAGGTTATTGTATACAGCAACTCTCTGTTGATTTGTTTAAGAGGTTAATTGAATTATGGTTCTGCAGCTAATTTTTCTGTGATTAGTCTAAAGGGAATAAACCAAAATAAACAAGAAAACATCAGTAGTTAAGATGGTCGTTGGGCGGGGGGGGACAGTGTTGTAAAGTGGAGGGTAAAGCCACCACCTACAATGCTGGCATCCCATAATGGGCACCAGTTCATGTACCAGCTGCTCCATTTCTGATCCAAGTCTGGGCTAATGGCCCAGGAAAACTGAAAATGGCCCAGTTGTTTGGGGCCCTGCCACTCACATGGGAGATTGGCAAGCAACTCCTGGCTGCTGGCTTCAGCCTGGCCTAGACCTGGCTGTTGCACCCGTTTGGGGACTGAACCATTTAATGGAACACCCCCTCCCATCTCTTATCTCTGTGTGACACTTTCAAATCAATCAATCTTTAAAAAAAGATGTTTGGGATGTGCCTGCATTCCATATTGGAGGGCTTAGAGTTTAAAACTGTCTCTGCTTCCTATTTCAGCTTCCTACTAATGCACACCTTGGGAAGCAGCAGATGATGGATCAGACCCCTGATATCCTGCCACTCATGTGAGTAACCAAGATTTATTTCTATTTTTTAAATTTTGTTGACAGGTAGAGTTATAGACAGTGAGAGAGAGAGACAAAGAGAAAGTCTTCCTTCTGTTGGTTCACTCCCCAAATGGTTGCTATGGCTGGCCCTGGGCCGATCTGAAGCCAGGAGCCAGGGGCTTCTTCCTGGTCTCCTATGTGGGTGCAGAGGCCCAAGCACATGGGCCATCCTTCACTGTCCTCCCTGGCCACAGCAGAGAGCTGGACTGGAAGAGGAGCAACCAGGACTAGGACCCGGTGCCCATATGGGATGCCGGGACTACAGGCAGAGGATTAACCAAGTGAGCCATGGCGCTGGCCTCCAAGATTGATTTCTGGGTGCTTAGCTTTAACCTCACCCAGTCCTGTTTGTCATAGGCATATGTGAAGTCGATAGGAGAGATCACTATCTGTTGTCTCTTTGTCTCTCAGCCTTTCACATAAGTAGATACTGTTTGATTATCTTTGTAAGTGATCAGGAATGTGTTTGAAGCAAGAAGATAACTTAGTTTTAAGAAATGAGATATAGGCCGGTGCCGTGGCTCAATAGGCTAATCCTCCACCTAGCGGCGCCAGCACACCGGGTTCTAGTCCCAGTCGGGGTGCCGGATTCTGTCCCAGTTGCCCCTCCCTCTTCCAGGCCAGCTCTCTGCTGTGGCCTGGGAAGGCAGTGGAGGATGGCCCAAGTGCTTGGGCCCTGCACCCCATGGGAGACCAGGAGAAGCACCTGGTTCCTGCTTCGGATCAGCGCGGTGCGGCGGCCGCAGCGCGCCAGCCGTGGCGGCCATTGGAGGGTGAACCAATGGCAAAGGAAGACCTTTCTCTCTGTCCCTCTCTCTCACTATCCACTCTGCCTGTCAAAAAAAAAAAGAGAAATGAGATATAGAAAGGATCCTGTTTTATTATAAAATGAAGTGTGAAGTTTATATTTGTTACAGCAAGCTTTTGGCCGAAACATAATGCAAATGGTCACATTTTACATGTCAGAAAAAACCTAAAAACAAAATGCTTGAGCTTTTTCTGACCCTCCCCTAGCAGGTTGTTTTGTGAGCAGCCTGGTTTTTTTCTCTGATAATAGGTCACTTTATTCTGTTTCAAGATTTTTAAGAAATACAATCATAAGAGAACCAAATATCTTGAAATGCCAAAAAAGTATTTAGGTTTCTTGCCCCTGTGCTCCTAAAGGAATGCTGGGAGTGTTTTTTCTATTAGTTATAGGGATTCTCTTAAGGTATACCAGCTGCCTGTTTTGCATTGTATTTGCAAAAATGCCTGTCGCATGAGGAAATCTTTTAAGATTTTTGGTTTGCAACATTTTTTAAAATGATTCATTTATTTATTTATTTGAAAGTCAAAGCTACAGAGAGACAGAAAGACAGAGAGAAAAGAGAGAGAGAGCATCTTTCTTCCTCTGGTTCACTCCCCAGATGGCAGCAACAGCCAGAGGTGAACCAGGCCAGAAGCAGAAGCCAGGAGCTAGGCACTTCATCCAGGTTTCATGCAGATGCAAGCACCCAAAGACTTGAGTCATATTCCAATGCTTTTCTCATGCATTTAGCAGGGAGCTAGATCTGAAGTGGATCATCCAGTACCCATAGCCACATATGGTGGCTTAACCTGGTATATCATGCCTGTCTGGCTTTCAACTTTGGACCTCAAGATGTTTCCCTTCCTTTCACTGTCGCCTTTTTCCTTCCTTCCTTCCTTCTTTCCTTCTTTCCTTCCTTCCTTCCTTCCTTCCTTCCTTCCAGATTTATTCATTTTTTTAAACACACACACACACACACAGATCTATTCGCTAGTTCAATCTGCAAATGACTGCAATGGCCAGAGCTGGACCAGTCCGAAGCCAGGAGCCAGGACCTTCTTACATGTATCACATGTGGATGGAGAGGCTCAAACACCTGGGCCACCCTCCACTGCTTTCCCAGACACATTAGTAAGGCACTGGATCAGAAGGACCCACAGGTGCCTATATGGGATGCTAGTTTCACAGTATCACAGGTGGTGGTTTTACCCATTATGCTACAGTGCCAGCCCCTCCCTCTTTTGTTCTATTGCACCTTGAGCCAACACACCAGGCTACTTCTCCAATGTATAATAAAAGAATTGTTCCTATGTCTCAAAAAATGAATTATCTAAGGTAAATACGATCTTCCAGCTATAATGAAAGAAGTATGAAATGAAATATCAATGCAGTAATATTTTTAAATTGTATAGCATAAACACAGGTATTTTGTCAAATTATCATTCCACATGTGTAGGAAAAAGTGAGTGGTAACATGAAAATATGGGAATTCCCAGTGCATGGAAGAGGATATGAGATATTCATGGAGCATAAGAATGCTGTAATTTGCTAGATGCAATAGTATTTCTAGATGTATATTAAAATGATTTAGTGAATGATGAATCTAGTTAGACCAGGATAAATATCCTTGTCATATACTCTGTCAGATGCAGCCACAGGATTGGCAAACATTTTGAGTCACAAAGCTATCTTTAATCAGGAGACATAATGACTAAGAGTCTGCAGTCTTAGTAAAAATGTGGTAAAATAAGTAACTAGAATGAACTAGAAAGTCAAATTAAGAAGATGGAACTGGATCCAATAGAGAGGGAATTCCCTTGCAATGCCACCAATGAGTCATATGGGACAATAGTATGAATTAATTAGAAAGTGGCATTCCCAATAAAGCTTAGATCTGATGGGTGCCCCTGAAGATGAACATGTTTGGATTCTCAGTTTTGGAAAAAGGTAAACCTTGGGGCCGGTGCTGTGATGCAGTGGGTTAATGCCCTGGCCTGAAGTGCCAGCATCCCGTAAAGGCGCCGGTTCGAGACCCAGCTGCTCCACTTCCAATCCAGCTCTCTACTATGGCCTGGAAAAGCAGAGAAGATAGCCCAAGTCCCTGGGCTCCTGCACCAGTGTGGGAGATCTGGAAGAAGCTCCTGGCTCCTGGCTTCAGATCAGCACAGCCCCAGCTGTTGTGGCCAATTGGGGAGTGAATCAGTGGATGGAAGACCTCTCTCTCTATTTCTCCCTCTCCTCTCTCTGTGCAACTCTAACTTTCAAAATAAAAAAGAAGAAAGAAAAAGGTAGACCTGAAGCCAAGTTCCTGCCATGCCATACTACTTAGCCAAGTATTTTTGTTATATTGCTAAAGCTTTGAACTACCTTCTCATTTAGAATTAGATAATTAATCTGTAGTAGCAGATTTACATTATTCTACTAGTGTGGGGAGGCAGTGTTGTGGCTTATCAGGTAAATCCACTTCCTGTGATGCTGGGATCCCATATATACACTGGTTTATGCCCAGGCTGGGCACCAGCTGGTATCCTAGCTGCCTTATTTCAGGTCCAGGTCCCTGATATTGGCCTGGGAAAAGCAGCAAAGGATGGTCCAAGTACTTGGGGCTCCTGCTACCCATGTGGAAGACCTGGATGAAGCTCCTGTCTCCTGGTTTTGGCCTGACTCACCCTAGCCATTGTGATTTTATTTATTTATTTGAGACATAGATTGAGAGGGAGAGAGAGAGAGAGAGAGAGAGAGAGAGAGAGAGAGAGAAATGTCTTCCACACACTCGTTCACTCCTCAAATGGCCACAACAGCTGGAGTTGGACCAATCTGAAGCCAAGATCCAGGAGCTTCCTCTGGGTCTCCCATGTGGGTGCAGGGGCCCAAGTGCCTGGGACGTCTTCTGCTGCTTTCCCAGCCATAGCAGAGAGCTGGATCAGAAGAGAAGTCAGAACTAGAACCAGTGCCCATATGGGAGCTGGGCTGCAGGTAAGGATTAACCTGCTGTGGTCAATGCATATGTGCATAAATTGATGACTGGACAAAGAAAATGTGACACACACACATTATGGAACACTACTCAGCCATAAATATAATGAAATCGGCCAGCACCATGGCTCACTAGGTTAATCCTCCACCTTGCGCTGCCGGCACACCAGGTTCTAGTCCCAGTCGGGGCACTGGATTCTGTCCTGGTTGCCCCTCTTCCAGGCCAGCTCTCTGCTGTGGCCCGGGAGTGCAGTGGAGGATGGCCCAAGTCCTTCGGCCCTGTACCCCATGGAAGACCAGAAGCACCTGGCTCCTGCCATCAGATCAGTGCGGTGTGCTGGCCGCAGTGCGCTGGCCCCAGTGGCCATTGGAGGGTGAACCAATGGCAAAGGAAGACCTTTCTCTCTCTCTCTCACTGTCCATTCTGCCTGTAATATATATATATATATATATATACACATATATATATAATGAAATCCTGTCTTTTGTAACAACATGAATGCAACTGAAGACATTATTCATAGTAAAATAAGCCAGTCCAAAAAGATAAACATCATACCTTTTTGCCTGACAAGTGGTATTTACTATTGAATATAAAAATGTGTAGTAATAAAGCTGCATCTTACAGTTTAAATATTATTTATAGCCCTTGTCTATATTGATGTGAGACAGCAGACTTTTATTGTTTAGATGGTGAGCATTAAGTTAGTGGTGAATTAAACATATGATTGCAAAGTAACTTGGAATTATGATATTGCAAAAATTTAAGAAAAAAGAAAGGAAAGAAATAAGCAATGAAGGAAGGATGGGGTATTGAGGCAGGGAGAGAGGATGGAAAGTATGGTTATCTTCTTAGAACTGCATCTATTAAATAAATGAACTCTGTTCTCTTTAAGTTAATAAAAAGAATGATTTGTTTGATCCAAGAAAGGGTTAACCAGATTAAAAAAAATAAAATGACCTCAAAATGGTGTACATTCAAGCAGAATATAATCAAAATGTTTTACTTTTCTTCCTCTCCTAATTTAGTTGTTTCATATAAAATCATAACTAGACTTGCTTTTAGTTCTTACTGACAGTATACCTAGATGCAATTTGTTTGAAATCATTTAAATTAGGTTATGAAAGATTTATTATCATTTTTAACCTTAGGAGAAAAGGGAGAAATAAAAAACTGAAGGTGGAGAAGGGTGTG